GCCCAGTTTCAACAACTTCCCGCGAAGAAAAAGAACTATCCGTTGGGTGCAATGGTATGAAAAAAAAATATGCACGATAAAAGGCTTGTCACTAACCACTGTCATTAAAGTCGCAATACCCACAGCCTATATTTTGCAATGAAAATTTTACTGGCGGCAATGATGCCACCAAAAATTGCAATAGAAATTTTGAATGCTAATTTAGAAATCTAAATTGCAATAACTATATACTACTAAAAACGACCTCAGGCCATTTGATTTTCGTCAGGAATTTAGTTCCGACTCTATTCTACACGCGACTTGAACAGTAAATTACTACGTAGTATTTTTGAGCATAAGCTTTCGCTCAAAAGTGCATGCGTTTTAAAATGCGCAAATTTGTGCGTAACTAAGCACGGAAGTGTACGTTGTTTAGGCGTAAATTATTGCTTTTCACGGGCACACTGTGGCAAAAAGGTACGGAAAATAATGATATTTTTTTTGCCAGGATTCTCCGAAGCCCTCTAATCAATATTCTCTGTAGGCTCTTACAGTATTCTCCGTAGGACCGCACAGTCTTCTCCGTAGGACCTGGAAGACGGTATAGTCCTACGGAAAATACTGTAAGAGCCTACGGAGAATACTGACAAGGGGGCTTCGGAGAATTTTACAGGATTTTCCGTAGCTTTTTGTTGCAGTGCATATCCTCAAGTTTGTGCAACAGCCATGCACAAAAACAAAACAAAAAACCTACGTAGAAGTTTAGTGTGTGGCCCGAATTTATAACGCTCCTCCATGGCACCAGCGCCCCCACCGCCCCGCCCGAGTCCCACTTCCAACTACTGCGGGTGCACAATCCGGCTCAAGACCAGTGCCGGCACGTCGAAATATTAACGGCAGTTTCGCAACGGGCGCTATAAAACGAGCAAATCAATAAAGCCAATTCATTATCAGAGATAACGACTCGGCTCGTTAATCGTGCATTAAACAGTGTCGCGGCGTTTCCCGTTCACCGCGCCAATGACGAGAAAATAACGACCGGAGAAAATTCGAAAATAGTTATTCCATGCGGGGAAAATTCCTTCGCAGACTCACAGCAGTGACCGCGTCCCTGTGGTGGCCGCTCCTGCGCCGCCGCCGTGTGCTGTGTCCAGGTACGACATGTGGGTCTCTTACCTGCGGACAAACGAGAAGAGAAAAAAAAAATAGATTGACAACGCGCAGACAAAGGTCAACAGTTTCGTGATGCCCGCTGATTGGCAGACGTCCAGCGAGGCTCTGGGACGAGGATGAGAGGGCAGAACGACTAGCCGCTTGCATCACTGCGAGGAACGAAATTCGTACCGCCAGTTGACTGTTAAAATGGACCGGCACTCACAGCACCGCTCACTCACTCTTAGTGCGTACTCCGTCTGTCTGTCTGCCTGCCTCTCTCTCTCTCTCTCTCTCTCTCTCTCTCTCTCTCTCTCTCTCTCTCTCTCTCTCTCTCTGTAACACACACACCTCTAAGTGATTGCATTCCAAAAGTTGTCCCGCGTCGTAGGCTCCGTCTTCTCATTAAGCCAACAGGGCGCAAACAAGCTTAAAAAAACAAAAACAAAAAAAAAACTGGCTTGCTTATTGCGAAGGCACAAACATATGTTCGGTCGGCGTGCCATCAGGCCAAACCGAACCAGCCTTCCAAATGCTCATCACTTTCACCGTGACGAAACGTTAAATCAGCTGGAGCAGCACACAGTGAAACAGAATTAAGAAAACGAGAAAAAAAGCGTACATAATTGAAAAAACATATGGTGAACGCATTTTTGAGCGGTCTACTTTTCCTTTCCTGCGTACATCCATCCAGTCAGACAGGGACAGACAGTCGGGAGAAAAAGCGTCGGTTTGCATAACGCGCGCACACTGCTAATGAGGCACTTTATTGAATCAAACTCGGCCGGCGGGCCGTACATGGCGTCGGCACATTCTCTTGAATTGAGTTATGTATCAAAGTCAGTGGCGTGGCAGTGGCGTGGTTGCCACCACGGTGGCATGGCCGTCGTGGTGGTGGCACGGCGTGGGTGCGCAGGGCGACCTTTTTTTTTGGCCACCCCAAGGACAGCCACATGTCACACGCTCTGGATGCACACCAGATTTATGCTCATTCCATGTCGCAATGCCTGTCACACACACACACTCACACACACAAACGGGCGCCGAGCGGGGCGCCAACGCTTTACATGTGTGGAAGGGTGGTCACAAGCTGGCCGCGCTGCTGGGGACCGACCAGGCCAGCGGCAGCCCCGTTCAGTGTGAACCGCGCGAGACGCGACACGTGTCCTGGGAGTTGCTCCAGGAGCAGTAACGAGTTGGCCGAGTGAGACGCGCCACGGGGGTGTCGGCGCGGCGGGTTCGACTCCCATCTTCGGCTTCTCCACCTCGTTCGGATCCTCTTTTTTCAGAAAAAAAAAATCAATGCGAACGTTGCACACTGAGAATACCTTACAAACTATTTCAGGACTTACAAAGAAAATCAATTTGTTATAACAATGTATTTTGAGCATACATAAGCTTACAAAGAAAATACTTCGTAATTTACGAACTAATTCTTCGTATAACAAAGTAAATTAGCTTGTACTTCTGTATGCTCAAAAAACTTCGTAAGGTTTTGGTGCATCACACTCTACCAAAAATGTCCTGTAAATGCCGTTAATTTATTACCAGTTTTCACTGTAGGTCAATTCACAGCGTTTACTGTGATCTGCTCACGGGATTCACTGTGATCTTGTTCGCGGTGTTCACTGTGATCTGGTCCCCAGTAAACACTGTGAGTTTGACGCCGCTAAGTACCGAAGTACTGCAAATCAGGCTCCAATTCACGGCGTTTACTGTGGCCAGATCACAGTGAACACTGTAACCGAGATCACAGTGAACGCCGTGAACAGCAAACGCCGTGAATTGCATAAACAGCAAACATTGGTAATAAATTAACGGCGTTGACAGGACATTTTTTGTAGAGTGCAGTTTATACATTCTCAGTCAAGCTGGAGTAGTTTTTATTTCTTTTGGTTCCCAGCTTGGTGGAGACTGCAAACGTCCTACAACACTAACGTCACACTACTGCCTGCAAAGACACCTACGCAGACTGACGCTACCTAGTCTCTCTGTCACACACGCACGCACACACACAGAGACAAACAATGCCGCGATAGGCGCTTCCACACTTACGCACCGCCGAGTCCATCACCGTCTTGTTTGATCGCCACATCTCCCGGCGCCATCAGCAGCACTGCACAATTCTCTTCCTTTTTTGCTCCTTTTCCAACACACACACACACACACACACCGAGGGGTGAATCACTAGTGTACTCATGTGTACAAATTTGCCCGTACTCAGTGTACTCACAAGTTCAAAAAGGGCGAAAATCACTAGTTTTGCGACCGATTTGGCGTTGAGTGACGTTAAAAACGCTAAATAAAGCCTTATAACGTTTCCAAATGTGAAATTTATGAGTAAAACAAGGTGTACTCACCCGTACTCATGTACTCATGTGTACACTAGGACGCTGAGTGATTCACCCCTCGACACACACACACACACATACATACATACATACACACACACACACACACCGACGCACGCACTGCTTGCACTTCCGTGCCTTTGATCATCGCAACGTAAACTTCCATATTTCTCTTCTCTGCCGATTTTTTAAAATTTTATTTTTCACATTTTTTTCTCCATTTTTCGCGTGGGGCTCACCTGCCTTGGATGCGCCGCCGTGGTGCCCGCGCCCCCCGCGGAGTGTGTGCCACCAGGCCAGGCCAGGTCGACTGGTCTGCTTTCCATCAGGAGAAGACAACTTACAAGGCCTATCGATACATCGACATATCGAATCGATAATTGGTCGACCTCCGGCTAGCGCTTTTCCAAAACGGTTTTTACTTAGCGGGCGCCGCCGTTTAGAAACGACATGCATTCCCGGTGAGGGATAAACACGGATAGATGATTGCCATCAATTCGTGGCAAAGCGCGGGAAAAACCAAAAACTCAATTTTTAAATTCTCACCGTAAACGTCCTGTGCTGTGTGAACAGGTGAACAGGCTTCATGAACGCGGACACGACATGAGCGTGTTAGCAAAGGTCGCACACTCCATTTAGGGGCAGGCGACACACACACACACACACACACACACAGAGCTAGAGCGACGCTGGCTGACTGGTTTCGCCGCTGTCTTTTCGATTCAGAGGGGTATGAATAGGGTGCGTTCAGAAAACCGTTATTGTCAGCATTTCTCTTCGCTTTTTATAGGAAACTTGGCAAAGGCGCGGGTCAAAGGGGCTGCTGCTGTACAGAGACATCAGACTCCCTGCCCACAAACACACACACACACACACACACACACACAAACACACACACAAGTGCAGCGTGACGCAACGCGTCATACACGCGACGACGACGCGTGTTGCGTGCGATCGGAAACGAACGCGACATGACATCGTGACACAGACACTCGCGCGTTGACAGGATTTATGGCAAAAGACGCGAACGGACGGACGTTGCCGCTTGCTGCCGCTCGAGGCTGGCGACGGGGGCGTCGCGGCGCTGCCGGGCGCTGCTGCCTGATACCGATGGATCGCTTTGTCGCTCTGTCTCCGTCGCACTCATGCGGTGTCCTGATGGCCCACTGCGGCGAGAAAGAGACAGAGCGACAATACGATTCTTAGGAATCACTTGGTAGAATGAAGCCCGATCGGATGCCTTCTATCGTCGTCGAGTGTCTAGGAAAGCTTTCAGGTTGCCTCCTTTGTGCTGGTGCCTTCTTCGGGTTGCCTTCTTCGAGTTGTCTCCTTCGGGATGCCTTCTTCGGGGTGACTTCTTTGGGTTGTCTTGGTTGACTTCTTCAGGGTGCTTTCTTCGGATTGTCTTCTTAAGAGTGCCTTCGGGGTGCCTTCCTCTGGTTATCTTCTTCGGGGTGCCTTCTTTGGGTTGTCTTGGTTGACTTCTTCAGGGCAGGGTGCTTTCTTCGGGTTGTCTTCTTAAGGGTGCCTTCTTCGCGTTGTCTTCTTCAGGTTGTCTTTTTTGGGATGCCTTCTTCGGGGTGCCTTCTTTGGGGTGCCTTCTTTGGGGTGCCTTCTTTGGGGTGCCTTCTTCTGGTTATCTTCTTCGGGGTGCCTTCTTTGGGTTGTCTTGGTTGACTTCTTCAGGGTGCTTTCTTCGGGTTGTTTTCTTAAAGATGCCTTCTTCGGGTTGTCTTCTTCGGGTTGTCTTCTTCGGGTTGTCTTCTTCGGGTTGTCTTCTTCAGGTTGCCTTTTTCGGGGTGCCTTCGGACATCCCAAGGTGTCTTCAGCCGTCTCCTCGCGAGTGCTTTCAGCATCTCTGGATGCTTTCGTACGTCTTCTTTCGGGCGCCTCGCGGCTCAGACCCGCAAACGCTCTGCATCGTCCTGCGACCTTTCCGTTTCCTCGGCCGCTGGATCCAGACTGCAGGCGGCCAGACTCCAGGCGGCCAGGCTGCAGGGGCCTCAAACGGGCCGGCATTCCTCCGCAACGGGGGAAATACTTTAGCAAAGAAATTGAACCAGTGCAGCAGAGCGGTGCAGAGCGGTGCACGGCGGTGCGCAGCGCCTAGTATTTCGAATCGATTAATATTCTGTCATCGGCGGGGCGCGGCGGCGAAGCGGTGAGGCGGCGCGGCGAGGGAGTGCCTGTTCCGCATACGCATTGCAAGAAAGTAGCAGCCGCGCGGCGGACTGATTCCGCGGTGCGTTCCGCCGCTCTCACTCTCGCACCGAGGTGGAGTGGCCCGCAAGTGCGACAGAGACAGCATGGAGCCGCGCGGAGTCAGACGGCCGCCTCCGGCAGCCTCCAGCAGCCTCCAGCCGGCGAATCCTGGACATCATTTTTTACTACGCGCCGCGCGCATGCATGTACGCGCGGTGCGCGGTTTTAGGCGATGACTGGAGATAGCGTGAACACTGGAGCGGACTGCGCGAGGAATTCCTCTGATTCCTTCACGCATTTCGCCTATCGCCGGACGAGTCTCGTGTAGCACTGTGGACAGCGCGCCGCGCAGCTGAGGGTAACGTCACAAATTTGCATCTCGTTTATTTTTTAAGCGGTCTTGCTACCGCTTCTAGCTCTGCATACGATCCCACTCATCCCATCCATCCACCCATCCACCCATCCATCCATTCAGCGCGCTCGGAGGGGACTGCATGGTCGTGGTTCGTCTGTCGTCGTCGCCTGCGCCGCCACGCCGCCACCCCGCGCCAGTCCCCACTCCTCACAGCCCCCTCTCCCTCCTTGCCCCCTCTCTGCCCGGCTTCCCCGGCCGGTCCACGGCAAGACCGCTTTGCTAAGCTTGCCTTGGCGGAACTTTTTTTTTTTATTTTCTCAGTTTTTTATTAACAAATAATAATTTTTTGTATGAACGGGTCGGATACTGCGCAAAGCCGTGTAGTTTTGCTGCTTGCCACAAATTTGGCAATCCGTTTTGTATGCCAAAAATTGGCAAGCTCGGCCTGGAAATACCACCCAGCTTGCCAAAATTTGGCAAGCTTATAAACCGATCAAAGCTTGCCAAATTTTGGCAATCAAAAAGGCTTGCCAAATTTGTGGCAAGCAAACTTACCACTGGCTTTGCAGTGATCACAATCACTTCAAAAATTTCCAATACTTTAAATTTAAAACAAATTATTGAAATTGACATGAAAGCGTCTACAATTTTAGGGTGTTCATGACACTGTGTCATCAATTGGTTTGGAGAGATTCATATAGGGAAAATCTGCTTCAAAATTGTCAGTAAGAGTCAGCCGAAATTTTCACAGTGGACAGCCCGTTGCGCGTGTGCTTCCGCGTGTTGGCGTGTTCTCCGCCCACCCTGGCCGCCCTGGTGCTTCGCGCTGCTTCCGTCCATCCATCTGGCCGTCGTCCCGTCGTCTGGGCGCCGCGGCGAGTCGCGCTGACGACCGCTATCGACCACCATTTCCCTTGAGGTGGGCGCGAACGGCGTGCTGCCGAGCCAAGGGTCGTTTCGTCGCTCTGTCTCTCTCGCACCCCTACGGGACCCCTACGGGACGCCCCACGAGTGCGAGGGAGACGGCACGGCGCGATGGAAGGCGTCAGCGGCCCACGCCCTGCCCGGTGGGGCCCTGCCCGGTGGGGCCCTGCCCGGTGGGGCCCGCGGCGACAAAGTAGTGCCTCCTTTTGGAGACTGCGACGCGGGAGCGGGGCCGAGGGATGCCCGCTGTGCGGCAGGCTGACTGCGAGAGTCGCTCTGTCTCTCTCGCACGCACGGGCTGCCCCCTGTGAGTGCGAGAGAGAGTGCAGGAAGGGCGCCGTAAAGCCGTCGTCGCCCAAACCCAGGGCATAAAGCGTAGGGCCCTAGGAGGCATTCTTCGCACGGTTATCCAGAAGCCGGCTCGGCTCGGCATGCTCAAGAAAGCTCGCCGGGGCGCTGCAGACGGAGAGTCGTTTCCTTTCTCTCTCGCACTCGTGAAGATGCCCGCATGGGTGCGAGAGAGACAGAGCGACTCTCGGAATCAGTCTGCAGCTCGGCTCGTCAGGGCATCATCGCTAGGCGCATTCGGAGCGGAATTGAACAGGTTCGTCAAGTTCGGACCACTGGACGCACACTGCGCACCGTGCATGCCTGCACCGAGCTACACTGCCATAAAGCAAAACTGCAGCTCGAGAGTCGCTTTCAACGCTCTGTCTCTCTCGCACCCGTTCGGGACGGTCCATGAGTGCGAGAGAGACAGAGCGACCAAAATAGTACCTCGGAATCAGGCTGCAGCAGCGCGGCTGGTTCCACTTCTGGGAATCCGTGGGCGGGGCGCGAAGCTACCGGCAGTTGTTTTTGTGTTAGACTGTCCGGCGCTGCGCCGCGCTGCGCTGCCGGCTGACTGATGGACCCGATGAGCCTGCCCGACCCATTTGGCGAAGCGAGATGTATGGTCGATGCGTGCCGCGGCGTGCCGCGTGAGGGATGGCGGACCAGGACCCGGTCGGTGTCAATCCGTGTAAAAGCCGATTCGACTCGTTGTTATTCGGCCCGTTCCAACACCCGTTTCCAGCATCCCAAGAAGCATTCCTGCGGATTGATTCCGGGAGTCGTTTTCGTCGCTCTGTCTCTCTCATACGCCTACAGGACACCCTATGAACGCTAGCGAGATAGAGTGACGAAAACGGCTCTCGGAATCAGTCAGCAGGTCGGCTCGAGGGGTGAATCACTCAGCGTCCTAGTGTACACATGAGTACATGAGTACGGGTGAGTACACCTTGTTTTACTCATAAATTTCACATTTGGAAACGTTATAAGGCTTTATTTAGCGTTTTTAACGTCACTCAACGCCAAATCGGTCGCAAAACTAGTGATTTTCGCCCTTTTTGAACTTGTGAGTACACTGAGTACGGGCAAATTTGTACACATGAGTACACTAGTGATTCACCCCTCGGGTCGGCTAACATGCCGCTTCTTTGTTTTAGGCGGAACGGCCCACTTGACCATTCAAGTTTTCGAGTTGTCGCTCTGTCCCTGTCGCACTCAACGAGCTTCCCGCGACTGAGCGACGAAGCTCGAATCACTCTGCAGACGCTCCCATTGGGATATTCATTCATTCATTGATCCTGTTGCTAAATAACTGGTCTGGCCGACCGAGTGCCGAGGGGTGCCTGCCGTTGGCGTGCCGTTGGTCTGCTGCCTCCTCCAGCTTGGCCTGCTTTGCCCTCAATAAACTACATGGCCGTCTTCCTGAATGCGGTGCCGTATAAAACTATTGCCCGTCGAAAGCCCGGCTGTGGGCCAGCATCATGCTGACAGGTCAAGACGAGTCGAGACGAACGCCTGCGGTGCTCTGGATAGGCAACCTGCCCAACGGCGATGCAGGAAGTGGCCTGCGCTGTTCATTACCATTACCATTAAGGGCTAGACCACACATGATCGTATGCCATTTTGGGCCCGACACAATGCCCGCCTGCACTGCAAAACGAGACATGGCCGTTCTAACTAAGGTGACACTTTATCTCGGGCACTTTCGAAGGAGACCACTTTCTATAGCTGGAAATGCTGAATGTAGCTGTTTGCTGGTCATGTTGTCCGTCTGCTCGGACTATCTGTGTGTTGGTCAGTTGGTCAAACTTCCTGTCTGATTTTCAAACTGTCTGTTTGTCAAGCTGTCTGTCTGTCAGTTTGCCCGTAGTTTGTCAGTCCGTGCATGTGCCTTTCGGTGGAGGACTCACAAGTGGCCACAGAGGAGAAGGGGCTTAAAGTAGCAGTTTCCTCCTTATTACTTGCACAGACAAAATCTTACGAAGTATCTTGTAAGTATTTTTTTGTTAGCTTATCTATGCCCAAAATTGTTAAGACAAGATACTTTTCTTTGTACGGCCGAAAATAGTTTCGAGAGTGCAAAGTGTTGTTTTGTTACTAACCTTTCAGGAGCGATTGATCTTTCGTACCCTCCCTTCCAAAAAGCCTCACGAAATAACTGCGGAAGAGAGGGAAGCGTGGACGACCGCGAAGACGAGAGTGACCGAGAGGGAGAGCGGCCTTGGGGCGGGGCGCGAGGCGGCGCGAGGCGGCGCGGGGCGCAGAGCGCAGGCCGCGAGGCTCAGCGCAAGGTCAAGGAAGCGGGGCTCGCGGCGCGGCGGTCGCTCGCGTGGACACAGCACTGCATTATCACGATGCAGATTTTGCTGCTTTGCAATTTGCAGAAGGTCGCGCCTCGCGTCGCGTCGCGTCGCGGGGCGGCCGGACGGACGCATTTCGCCCCGTGCGTGAGCCGCGTGGACAATAATCATGATTTACCCGGAAAACGCCTTCGCTCTACAATTTATTTTAATGTCACGAAGGCATGTCTGTCGGTCTGTCTGGGTGTCTTTCTGCATGTGTGCGTGCGTGTGTGTGTGTGTGTGTGTGTGTGTGTGTGTGTGTGTGTGAGCCTTTGCGGCCCGCCGCAGTGTCGCACTCTCTTCGTTTTTACGGCCGTGTCAAGGTCACCACCAAGGTCACCGCTGCACCGCGCTGCCCGCGGCCGTTTCCTTTAGAGACGTGACTTTTATAAAACGGCATTTCAAACAATGCGGGGAGTCGTAAAAGGCGTCAAGAGGAATCCGCGAGGCGCGAATCTCGCCGAGGAATGCGACGCGCGAAAAGAGGGAAGTTGCGAACAATTAGGCACTCCCACGCAAACGGACAAAAAAAAACAAGCGAACAAACCCTCCGAACAAACAGATGGACAGACTGGTGAACAGATAGACACATAAACAAACAAATGGACAGACCAGCAAATAACAAACGAACGAACGAACAAACAAGCAAACAAAAAAGGGCAGACAGACAAACAAACTGGCAACAGGATAGTCAAACAGACAGACCAAAGAACCAAAAGGCAACAGAGTCAAACAGACGGGCCAAAGAACCAAACACACACACCAAACGAACCAACAATCAGTGGACAGTCAGACAGACAGACAGGCAGACAGGCAGGCAGACAGGCAGGCAGACAGGCAGGCAGACACGCAGGCAGACACGCAGG